TATTGATTCCATGTTTGATTTATACTTGTCAAAAGGCTCTCCCATTCAGTGATAGGCAAAGTCCTACCTCATATCGACCCTAGGTAAAATACTTAATCACTTTTGGCTATGGTAGTGAGCTCAACCAAATAAACTCTTTGATTCTGTGATAGGTGAGGTTGAAACTTGTATTGAACCTATAGAAACTACTTAGTCACTTTTGGTTATGGTGTTGGCCTTGGCCAAAAGAACTTTCTGACGATAAGTGAGGTTAGACCTCATATCACCCCTTGGGAAATACTTAGTCACTTTTGGTTAAGGTGTTAACCTTAGCCAAAAAGAATAAAAATCTTCTGTTTGGCGATAGTTAAGGTTGAACCTCGTAATGTCCATAGGGAAATCTTTTTTTTTTTTTCTTATCTAAGGCATGATCTCACGCAAGGACAAGCCTTTTGTTTGACATTAGGCGAGGTCAGACCTCATAATGCCCCTAGGGAATACTTTCTTATTTGGCTTTAGGTAAAGTCGGGCCTCGTAATGCCTATAGGGAAACCTTAGCTATTCTCTTGGCTAAGGCATTAATCTTGCCTAAAAACAAACTCTTTCGTTCAACGTTAGGCAATGTCTAACCCTTTAATTCCCTAAGGGAAAACATAACTTTTCTTTTTGGCTAACGCATTAACCTCAGTCGAGAACAAGCTCTTCCTTTTGGCATTAGGTGATGTTAAATCTCATAATGCCCTTAGGAAAAGTTTCGCTTTATCTTGGTTAAGGCATTTAACCTTGGCTAAGAACTAGTTATTCTATTTGACGTTAAGTGAGGTCGGGCATTGTAACACCATTAGGGAAAGTTGAGGTCCACATCCATGCCCTCAGTTTTTGCCACGAATTAATTATTTTTCTTGGTGTTAGGCCTCTTAATGTCAATATGGAGAATTGATGACAAGGCATGTGCGCTTGGGCTCGACTAAGAATCATTTCCTTTGCTCAACATTTGGTAAGGTTAGGGCTCATAATGCTTTGAGAACCAAGGTCAAGGTAAGAGCACTTAGCCTTGCCCAAGAATAAGTTCTTTCACTCAGTGTTATTAGGTGAGGTCAGACCTCTTAACACCTCTTCGGAAAACCAAGGCTAGGGTCTACATCCTTAGCCATGACCACAGATTAATTCTTTTTCTGTGTTAGGCAAGGTCGGGCCTCGTAACACTACTAAGGAGAACTACTGAGGTAGCGCTATTAGGGAAATTTGAGGTCAAGGTCAATTCCCTTGACCAAAGATTTAATTCTTTGCTCGGTACGGTGTTAGGTGAGGTTGGACCTATTAATGCCAATAGGGAGAATTGAGGTTGGGGTCAGCACCCTGACCTTGGCAAAGAGTGTAACACCCCCAATTTTAAAGCATAAAATTTCAAAACTTAACTGTAAGGATAAAACTAATCATTCATTAAAACCATGCGGAAGCTAAAACGAAGTATGGGAATGTCATGCCACATCTATCTAACCATAGATGCACAGGCTAGGAATCTAAAGTCAAAACCAAACAACAGTTAAGTATTCATAAGTCTAGGCTCACAGGCCACAGTCTAGAACTACAGAAAGAAGCTACATGATCTAACTCGTCCACTAGCGCACTCTCCTGGATCTACTCAAAACCCGTAAAACATAGGGATAGCACCCGTCAGCGAATAAAGCTGGAACAACATAAGAATCAACAACAAGTCACTCTCAATCAAAGACCAATTCTAACAAATTACTCAATGATCAACAAGATCGACAGAAACAACATGCTCAACAACAAGATATATCAAACGATAATCAATCAAGAGACAATCATAAGTCACTCTCATGAACCATGAAAGACAAGATTCACAACCAAAGATGAGTACCAAGTTCCAACCTTATGTCCTGTTCCAACCATTCTCTCCAGGCCAACCTTATTACAGTTCCAACCATTACCTCCTAGTGCCACCCTGTACACCAAGTCCAACCTTATTCCTTCGGAGCGATTCGCCACACCCCCCCCCCCCCCCGCCTGCATCCGCCAACTTTAACCGCCAAACGGGGACACTCGTAGTGTCAATAGTCATGTAGAATAGTAATAATCACGTGATAGTCTATCTCCTTTCATTATTGTCCACCAATCATATAATAATACATAGTCCTCACCACGGAGGATTGTGGCTCATCAATAGCCCAATCAAGTATCAATAAACGGGTACATCACATGTACAAGATCACATCAAGGAATATAACCGATAGATTTCAATGAAAGGCATGAATAGACCATCAACAACGATACAACAACGATAGACTTTAATCCAAAGACTATCATGATTGGCAACACAAGTTACCAATCCTCATTAGGAACAAACCAACAACACATACTAGCATCAACAAGATTAAAACTAGTATGTACATCAAAAGGAGAAACATAACGGTTCAACCGAACCTCAATGACTTCACATTAATCCAACGAATCACAAGGTTGGACCATAAGCACGATTCAAGACTCATAATCCTATCATGGATACTTAGGACACCGTTCTAGACATACGAAACATCAAAGGAGACACACAAATGCACAACGATTCAACAAAACGGAGGTCAAAGCATCACGTACCAGTGGGCGGAACAGTGGGTGGAGAACCACCCGCCACTCTCCCATAACAGGTACCAGCGGGTGGAACCACGGGTGGACCTCTACCCGCGGCTCCGCCCGCCGGCCCTCTCCCTTCCACCCGCGGGTGGAATGGCAGGTAGACAGCCACCCGCTGTTCCGCCCGCGGGTACACTCCTGTACCACAATAATTCCCTTCGGGGAAAAACCTCAACAAGGCCAAGTTCAAGTCTAAAACACCCAAAACCTCACACTCAACAAGGAAATGACTTGAACATATGAATAGCTCAAAAGATAGCATTTAAGAACCCTGGATACAAGCTCTAACTTGCATAAACACAAGATTATGCATCAAATCTCACAAGAACATCAAGTAGAATGTCAAGAATCATCATAGAAAGTTCAAAATAGGTTTTGTAAAGTATGGGTACCTTTGTAGACCAAGATACACTTCCTTTCTAGCCCCTGGACTTCTCCTTGAAGTTCCTCCTCAACCAAATCTTCTCAACACAACCAAGCAAACAAGGAAAAACCATAACTTAGATAAAGACTAGGCAAAGCTACTCAAAAACATCAACTAAGCTAAGATCTTACCCTTCCTAATGCTTTAATGGTGGAAAGGTGGAATCTTGGAGAGTTCTCTTGCAAGGATGAAGGTCGATTTTACTTTGCTTGGAGAGAAAGCTAGCTTTTCTAGCTTTGGTCCTAGACTTATAGTGGCTTGGACAATTTTAGTCCTTAATAAAAAAATTTGTCATTTTATGGACAGAGTTATTGTGGCGAGGACATTTTTGGTCCTCCGTCTATATTTCTGTTAGATAACCGTATGAGAGAGGGGCAATTATGTCAATTTAGGCTATCTCCTTCTATCTATTATATCTATGTGTGTTTGGCGGCTTCGATTCTCCTTCTATCTATTTGATTAGTAACCTGTTTGGCGGCTTCGATTCTCCGGCAATTTCTTCGTACAACTGCAACTTGGACTCTCCGACTCCTTCGAATTATGACCGAGAAGAAAACAAAACACACATAGATATAATAGATAGAAGGAGATAGCCTAAATTGACGTAATTACCCCTCTCTCAGACGGTTATCTAACAGAAATATAGACGGAGGACCAAAAATGTCCTCGCCACAATAACTCTGTCCATAAAATGGCAAATTTTTTTTATAAAGGACTAAATTTGTCCAAGCCACTATAAATTTAGGACTAAAAATGTCTTTTACTCTTATTTCCATTTGGTGAAATACTAGTGTTGCGAGAGTTTGATCTTGTCATCTTTGTTATAACTGATATTTTCTGGATAGAATGTGATTAGGAATAAGGATCATGGTTGAGCTTGTACGTTGAACTCTCAATGAAAGCACCAATAATGGATAAAATTTGCTCAAGGGTTCACATTAACTATCCCAATTAGAAGATTATGAGCAATCTGGAATGCAAAGACAAGTAAATTGATCGAAAGGATAATGGAATCACACTTTCTTTCTATTGATTGCTTGAGAATTATAATATGAAGTGTTAGAATGAGACGTAAGGTGTCTAAACAATAGAACAAATGAGTTATTTATACAAAGAGGATCATAATGGCTCTTTTGGCTGGTAACGCCCCATGTGATCTGGATGCTCCTTCGAGCGAAGCTAGAGCTTTTAACGACTAGCATTGACCTTGGTATCTTTTGGGTATGACCTCAGCCCCAAGGCCAGACCTTGGTCTAACAAACCCTGAGGTCAAGCCTTGGTCCAACTGACCCCAAGATCGGGCCTCGATCTAGCTGACCTCTAGTCATTGACTTTGCGCTTACTCTCTTGGACTTCGCTTCAATTCTTCTTATACTTTTTTCTTGAGTCGAGCCAAATATATCCATCAAGATCAATGCAATTTGATAGGAAAATGAGTGAAAACTAAAATTTTGTGTATGGAGCCATTGGTTTGGGCATATAATTTTTTTTAAAAAAATTAATTACTCCATTATAAGTTAACTATCATGATTTATGCAGCAAGACTAAATAAAAATGAGTTAAATTAACGAAAAACTAGGGCAACAAATGCTAGCAGTTTAATTACAAAATGAATAAAATTAGCATATGATAGATTTAATTTCTAAAATTGATTAAGAAATATGACATGTATGTCAATATTGATCGAACAACAAAAATATAAGAATCAAATTAAAATTTTTACTTTTTATTGAACTCTTACAATATTAATGTTATAATGACATGGGGATTTTTTTTATTAAATAATAAAATGTAATTTGCAAAATTTTAAGTACTATATATATACAACTTTTTTAAAGAAAATTGAATAAGAATTCAAGCTATGATTTACGTTCAGATATATGTAAGAATTGTAGATATGATTAACTCCTACGCAAACAAAGTATGAAGAAAATAAAAGAGATGAGAAAAAGAAGAAAATTTACGATAAAGTATTAAATACACCACAGCATGCATCAGAATTAGGAAGAATATGAAGGTTGCTTAGCTCCCTCCCATAACAAGTGCACTTCATCAATTATAAACCAAAAAGTATAAATAAGCTAAGAGAAACAAAAACCATTGGCTCTCCTCTTTGTCTGTCTTCTTCATGCCACACCTACGTAGAGTCACTGGTTTTTGCAGCTAAAATAATAGAGCCCAATACCCTTTATCTTTGGAGAAACAAAAAGCTTACCAGCAAGAAGCTAGTTTAGCCATGGAGGTTGGTTTTGGTTTTGGTTTTGGTTTTGGTGATCATAGGAGGAAGAAGAAGAAGAAGGTCCGGCCATGTGGTCAAGCCCAGCCATGTTGAGAAAGGTATCCCTTTGATGATGATGATGAGGAAATGCGCCGAGGGTTAAGAAATCTCTGGTGCTAGCGGAGTTGATGATCATGTTACGAGGGGGAGGGGGAGGGATGGAGGTTTCCATGCAACCCGAGGTGAGATTAGCGTGATGGGGTTGGGGTTTGTTTGATAGTCCGAAAGAAGCCAAAGCCAGCTCTTCACTGAAGAAACCGCCAGGAGGAGTGGCGCTCATGTGAACGGGCCCTTGGTGGTGGGGCCCGATAACGTTACCGCTAGCGGCACCAACCAGGCTGTTGTTGTTGTTGTTGTTGTTGTTCGTGCTACTTGTGGTCACCCCCATCTGCGCGGCCTTTTGGAGCAACGCCGTGGCGCTCATGTTAGGGTTTTCATGGAGGCCGAAGAGGTGGGTGGAGAGGTCGGCCGGCTGCGGCGGGCAGGCTAGCCAGGGTGGCAGCTCGGGCTGCGCCGCTCCTGCCCGGAGCGGGCGGAAGCTCGGGGGCGGCGGCGGTGGTGGCTCTTGCTTCAGTACTGGGAAGGGTTGTTGGAGGGCAATATGGGAAGATAGGAGAGGATTATTAGAAGGTGCACTTATGGCTCTCACACTCTCTTCTGCTAAGGCATCACAAAAGGCCCTGTGTGTGATGAAGCTGTCCCTTCTGCAAGACCACCAAAAATAACTATTAGGTTCAAACGTTTATCACTATGCGGTTCAAACGTTTATCACTATGCCAAAAACTATAGTCAGTAACGAAATCCTAATTTTATTTCGTTATAGACAGTTGTCACATTTTTAAGAGGCAAGGTGCTGAACTTGACCCTTACCGACCTCGTCCTTTAGCCACTAATTGATGGACTTGGTCATTTACCCGTCTCGTCCAACAGTAACAAAAAAAAATTACAAAGAATAAAACAAAAAAGCAAAACAACAAAAAGAACAGAATCATCAGAAAACAAATAACAACTCAGAGGTTGCAGCAGGCTTCTTGCTGCAAGCTAGGGAAAGCTTATAGCTCATTCTATTCTCTCTCTCTCCCTCTCTCCCTCTCTCCCTCTCCATCCCTTTTGTTTGCATTTTGCTTTTGCAGTAAAGAATATACCTGTGTAAAGTATATATGCATGGGTGTATTGTCTCTCTCTATATATACATATACATATACATACAGCGCAAGTGCAAGCACATATAAACACATACACTGGCAGATAATCATTGCAATAGAGATTAAACGCCAGAATTCTTACATAAAATTTAATTTGATTTGTGTAACTAAAATTTATATATAAATAAAGTGACATATATATTCACCTATATGGTTAAAAGTCTAAGTCTATATTATAAGGTGTATCTCAGTTATGACCACTCTATTTAGAAGATGCCCTTCCAAACACAAAATACAAATGCAAAACAACAATTTATAATTAAAAAGAAAAAAAAAAACAAATAAGTTCAGCTTGATGGTGAATTATATAGTACTATATATTAATTAACCAGCTGGACAATCCCATCTCTCTCCTCGGATTAATGTCTATTGATGTCTAATCAGTATGTTTAACCATAAAATTATGCTTAATACTAAAAAAAACACATACCCAAGCTTATAATTTAGTTGGAAAGTCTTAAATTCAATCCTTAATCTCTTAAGATGTTTAGAAAAATAAACTAAAATTATGCTTAATTAGCTCACTAGCATTAAAAATGGTTTTGACTCTTGTAGCTTGAAGGTTGACTTTGAAATTTGAACCCAAATCCTTTGATAATGGGATGTGTATCTATATATATATATAGTATAGAATAGAGATTATGGGGTAACCCAGCTAAGATGGCCAGAGATAGATCTACACTTGTAATCACAAGGTCACAAAAATCTAAGCTGGTTTACTTCCTTGGATTGACTAGGGTCACAAGCTGATACGTGATTTACCTATAGCCAAAAGGGTTGTGGGGTTTTCCCGGCCTTGTCGTTGAAAGAAAGAGAGATTATGAGATGAATAAAATTAGGTAGCATACCTAGAGAAAAGGGTTCCACAATCACATCTATATTCCCTAGTGCCACAAATCTTGGAGTGGGCTTTCCAATCAGATTGAACAGCATATCTCTTGGAGCACTTATCACACTTCCATTTCTTCTCACCATGCTTTCTTGAGTAGTGCTTCTTGATGCCAGTGAGGTCCCCAAGGGCCCTTGAAGGGTCATGGTGGACACATGAGGCCTCTGGGCACACATAAACCTTCTTCTTTATCACTTCATTCTTGTTCCTTTGCTTCAGCTTCCATGGCAGATTGTGCCCTCTCCTATGCAGCTGCAGATTCTGGTCCCTTTGGAACCCTTTGTTGCAGATCTCACACACAAACCTGTTTGTTGCCAATAGTGCTCTTGGTGACAAAGCCACCACCTCTGCCTCAGGGTCTAATTCATCATTTCATTTACACATCCAACCAACAAATAGTTAATATCAAATATCAGACTTGAACTGTTCTACTGGTTCAGTAGTCAGTATTTGGGAGAAGATCCCGATGACCCAGAGCTAAGAAGGGTGGTGGAGTAAAAAATTGAATTCAAAGTTGCAGTAAATAATATAATTATTACCTGGATTTCCTGGTAAATTTCTCTTCTTCTTGGCAGCTGACTGGGCTGGATTGTTACTAGTTGAAGAAATACTTGCTTCATTAGATGCTGAGGTTAAATTTGACATGCTCTCATCAACCATCATGCCCTTAATCATTCCACCAATATTAAAATTTTCAACTTTTTTGGTTTTTGGGAAAGAAAATTCAAGATTCACTCATCATTGGTGATGAAGAGAAGTGAAAACCAATATATATATATGTTTACTTTAATAATTATATGTATATATAGTATTGCATATAATTCATACAACTAACCCTAGAGAGATTTGAAAAGAAGATTAAGCTAGGCTGAAGAGTATGAGTTTACAGTTTTCCATCTTCTTCATGATTGGAAAACAGAAAGACTATTTCAAGGTAAAAACAAAAGAAAAGCTGCTACAACAACCAAGCTAGAAGATTGAATAAAAGCCATACATAAGAAAATAAATGAAACCAAGCAAATTCTTAAAGATAAAGAAAAGAAAACTTTCAGAGAGAGAGAGAGAGAGAGAGAGTAATAGAGATGTGGATGAGAAACTAAAGGTATCCTTTCTCTAGTCATCCACCCCATCAAAACCATAACCTAGGGGCAACAAGGTTTGTTCTGACGTTTCATTTTGTCTTTTGCTTTGTTGTCTTTTTGATTAAACAAATATATATATATATATATATATATATATATATATATATATATATATATATATATATATATATATATATATATATATATATATATAAAATAAATAAATAAATATACGTACACATATACATATATTCCATCTTCCATTATTGGGTTTGCTAGTTTATTCTCTTTTAAGAAAAAAAGATAATTGCTTAGCTTCTCTAATTTATTTACAATTTTAACTTTCTTGCTCCACAATTGCATGTATAGTTGCATGAAAGAGAATTGGATATGTTAGGCGTGTGAGAAAGAAGTTTTACTAAAACTACTCATAATTGGAGCAATCACAGTCAAGTTGATTGTACATGTCAATTAACTTGATAACTATAAAATTCTAGAATTTGATTATTCATGAGAGCTGCTTATTGACCTTCTCGATTTGAACGAGCCAACTATTCAAAATTTTTTGAAAATATATGCTTTCGTTTTTTTATTTTTAGAATACTATGTGAAAAATAAAAAAATAAAAAAAAAAATTCAAGCATGCATGTGTATCATCATTAAATATTTACTTCCTACGTATCCCATTTTATACAACATATTCATCATTTATTGATCAAATTATTCAAGAAAAGTTCTGATCTACACTATTGAAGAATAACATAATTACTATATTCTATAAATAGAAAGGAAATGGTGACACTTTTATAAATAATGAAAGTAAAATTATTATTTTTTATAAAATAAAAAATATTACCGTTTCAATTTTTTTATTATAATAATCAATATTGTTATTATTTGGCATTGTAAAATTTCTGGTTTTTGTTGCTGTATCTTTTAACACTCGACATGTAAGCTGTGTAGTTTAATTGATCAGTGTTTTACCTCAGTGATATATGGCAGTGTGAAAAGAATAACTCAGCCTTAGCTTCTTTTATGAATATTCACATGACTGAGCCAATAGTGTTGGGTAGCATAAATTTCAGATTATGTGTAAATAACTTAGGGTCGGTTTGACTTTCAAAAAAAAAAAAAAAACTTAGGGTCGGTTTGAAAGCGTGAAAAATATTCTCCAGAAAATGATTTTAAGAAAAAGATTTATTTTTTAAAACTATAATTTGACTTTTTAATGTTTGGCTATATGACAAAAATAAATTAATTTTCTTTTTTTTAGAAGAAAAATTAATTTTTTTTTTTTGTTTGGCTAAAAGTTAAAAAATGACATTTTTTCCGTTCGATTCATTTTTATGAAAATGAACATATTATTAGTTATATAATAATAATAATAGAAGGAGAAGGAGAGGGAGAAGAAGAAGAAGAAGAAGAAGAAGAAGGAGGAGGAGGAGTGGTGGTGATGGTTCGTAGTTGTGATTGTGTGGTGGTGTGGTGGTGGTGGGGTGGTGATAGAGGTGGCGGTATGGTGGTGGTCTGGTAGTGGTGTGGATGGTGGTGTAATTGTGGTTGTGGTGATGGTTGTGGTTGTGTGGTGATGGTTGTAATAATGGTGTGGTGGTGGTGGTGGTGGTAGTTGTGGTTGTGGTTGTAATAATAATATTGAAATTAGAAAAGATATTAGAGAGAAAATAAACATGGGAAAATAACAAAACCGAAAATGTCTTTAGACTAAAATTGAGCATTTTCTCGGTTGATCAAAATGTATTTTTTTCATTTAACTTTATTTTCCTTGAATATCCGAACACAGGAAAATCCGATGAATAACTTCCGAATGTCATTTTTCAGATTTCCAAACGAACCCCTAAAGAACATTTTTCACTCGTATCGTGTATACTAGTTTTACACGCGCATTATATTGCGCGAATGGGTTAATGTCCAATGTTTATATTTAAATAAATATTTGAAAGTATATCAATGCAAGACTATATAGGAGAAGTTCATTCATAGGTAATTGAATGTCAAATTTGTTTATCTAAATATGTAACTCAAAATATATGAATGCAAGATAATATAGGATATTCATTATAATTGTCACTAAAATAAATGGTTGCAACTTTGTAAAATCAATAGTCTAAGTACTTAGTCTAAAAATGATAGTTTAAATAAATACTACTTTTGGTTTGAATTTTTATAAGTATTCGTAATTCTCTTTTGAGTAGCATTGACGCATTGTCATTGTCTTCATCTTCACTATTTGTCCTCTTTTTTTTTTTTTTTTTGTTGGTAGTGTTTTATTTGCAATTAGATTACTGTTGATAGCATAGATGACAACGTCATGCAATGAGATTATGGTGTAAGAAGCTATGAATTTTCTTTGTTGTGTATATGACTGATCTTAGTTGTACTATGAAGTCTTGATCTTGCAAACGTTTGTTGATATTTTGCAGTTTTCCCTACATGTTTCGAAATATTGAATAAAATATTACTCCCTCCGTCCATTTTATGTGTCTAGTTCGGTTAACGAGACTTGACTGGAGTTATTTTTAATCTAATTTTTCATAATATATTAAGTTTAGTATTATTATACAAAATTTATATATTTAGAAACTACACTAAAAGTATTATTAAACACAAAAAAAAATCAAATTTAAAAATAAGTAAAAAATAGTAAAGAAAATAAAAAAAGAAAGAAATAGTTTGTTTGACCAATGAATAATAAGTAGGACACATAAAATGGGATAAAGGGAGTAATATTTATTATTTATTATATTTATATAAGGTTCATGAGTAGTAGTACCTTTTGTTCAAATTTCATAACTTATTTACTTCATAGCTAGTAACAACAATAACTATCAGAGTATCAGGTACTCCGAATACTGATGCTACAACGTGTCCAGTTTCATTAATAATTTCCACATCAATTTTGCACATGTTCATTTTCAAGTTCATATTTTTAGAATTAGTAGGAAAGAGTGTAGTACTTGATTTTTTGTGTGTGCGTGCGTGTGTGTGTCTGTTTTTTTTTGTGTGTGTTTTTTTTTTTTTTTTTTATTGAATTGATATATACTAACCTTGGAGTTAAATTGTTTTTTACTTTGTGCATAAAATTTTTTTAAATAGTGATTACATCCTATATACCAAGTATTTTTGTTGTGAATGTTGATGTTGAGTTTGCCTGTAATGATTACTCGGTAAACTACTCGTGTTCGTGTTCGTGTTTGTGTTCGTGTTCATGTTCGTGTTCGGTAAGTGTTCGTTTATGTTCGTTTATTAAGGTAAATGAACATTAATAAACAAAATTTAGAGCTCGGTTTATAAACAAACAGAGTCTGAACAGTTGTAAGCTCATTTGCTAAGAGATCATGAACAAGCTCGTTTGTGCTCGTTTAATAATGTTCGCAAACAAATTCATTTAGTGTTCGTTTAATAATGTTCGCAAACAAGCTTGTTTGTGTTCGTTTAATATTTGTTTGTATTCTCTTTGTAGTTGTATTACTTGTTTGGTTATTTTTCGTGAACATATATTATTAATATATGTCCACAAATGAATTGTAACCATGAACATGTTCATATGTTTGGTTATTAAGCATTCACAAATGTGTTTATGAACGTAAACGAAAATGTTCGCAAATATTAATGAACATGTTCATGAACGTGCCTGTTAAAAAACATGTTCGTGAACGTGTTCGTTAAGGTTAAAGAACACGTACAGTTCGTTCCTGAACGTGTTCGCGAACGTTAACAAACACTAATGAACGCTTAACAAACGAACATGACCAGGATTTTCAAAAACCTTAACAAACGAACACGAACACAAACACTCCAAAATTCTTAACAACCAAACACGAACAACCTCCGTTCGTTTTTGTTCGGTTCGTTAACAACCCTACTATAATCTAAGTAGGTTAAGTCTAGAAGATGAAATGAATTGTAAATCTCTATCTCTATATCTCTATCTCTATCTCTATCTCTATATCTCTATCTCTATCTCTATCTCTATATATAATAAAGCAAAATGATGGCCAAAAAATTTTTCCCTCCAAAGTGTGAAAGCATTTATTGTATATCTATCTATCTATATATCTATATATCTATATGTGATAGTATTTTATATATATATATATATATATATATATATATATATATATATATATATATATATATATATATATATATAAAAACAAAATCCTCCTACATCATTTCAAAAAAAATGAAAATTAAGAATCAGTAATTTATTTATGTTAGAAAATAAAGTAATTAAGTATAATGAGAAAATTCATTAGGAAAGATGAAGGATGCAAATAAATCATAATTTACACCAACTACGAGCCGTAACAACATATTTTTACATTACAAATAGCCATCTTATTTTTTAATATATGTAATTCAATACTGAATATAAATAAATAAATAAATAAATAAATAATGAATACAAACATCAGTATATTGTTTTTATTTTATTATTAAGTATGTTAATATTTACAATTTATTATATATGTTAATATTTAAGTAACATTGGTGAGTGTTTTTTTTATATTATATTATTATATATGTTTTTTTTTAGTTTCATAAATTTCACACACACACACAAAGGATTATTTTCAAATGCAAACCCCCTTTAAAATACAAACTGTGTGCATGTAAGTATGTTAATGTGTGCACGAACTCAAGTTTGTATTTTAAGGGGGTTTGTATTTGAATGCAACTCTATATATATATATATATATATATATATATATATATATATATATATATATATATATATATATATATATATATATATATATATATATATATATATATATATATATATATATATAGAGAGAGAGAGAGAGAGGAAGAGAGAGGAAGGTTCAAATGCGGCAGTGTTTTATGGTGCGGCGTCACCAATAGTTCATCAAATATACACCGTCAAACGTTCGGAAAATACATCACAAAAACACACCATTAGGTGTGATTAAAAAAACCATACAGTGTTCGAAAATACATCATTGGGGT